ACAGTGTTGCCAAAGATTATGGTATCAAATGTGCTATAAAGAGATTAAAATTAAACCATAATTTTGGATAATTTAAGTATAATGAGGTATTAAAAATGCAAACATATGTGAAGTGCTTTATAATTAAGAAATTTTAAGTCATGAAGAAATATTTATGGCAAATAAACAGTAGAGGTTCATAAGGACTTAAAGCAAATGGCAAAATGTGCTCACAGAAAAGTAGAAAAAATTATATTACATTATGGGAAAAATCTTCCTAATAGAAGTTTTCTCAGTGGTAAAATGTTTTTAATATTTTAAATATATAGATTTATGGGTCATAATTTGATACTTGTATATAGTTGTGATAATCAAATCAGGGTTGTTTACATTTACATCTCCTTAAATATTAAAAAATCATCATTAATATTTAATAATTATATATATTTATTGAGTATAGTGTGATATTTCAGTACATGCATACAATATAAGTTTACCAAATCAGGACAATTAACATTTCCATCCCCTTACCATTGCTCTTTGTTTGGTACTTTTAAGCTAATCTCTTCTTAAAATGCATGATATGTTATTATCATCTAAAATCACTCCACTGTGCTGCAGAACACTAGATTTATGATTTCTATCTGTGTTTTGGTTTGCAATGTACAACTTCCTTCCATTGTCCTCCTTTCTACCCTTCACAAACCCAACTAATCACAACTCTACATTCAGTTCCACTTTTTTTTTAATATCCACATGTAAGAGAGAATATGCAGAATTTGTCTTTCTGTGATTTAGTTCACTTGATATCTATGTAGTTGCTTTTAGTTGTCTTAAATATAAAGTCTTAAATTAATATAAACTATACACAGAACTAAAATTTGAAAGTTCTGTTTGATTTGGTCTACCCTGAGTGTTTAGCACAAAGTCAACGCAAATAAGAGCTTTCATTAACCTAGAACAGGGACAGTTGAAACTTTTATTTCAAATACAAAATATTTTTTATATATTTATGCATTTTTTATTTATCATTTGAATTCTTCCACCTCTTCCTCCTTTATTTGTTGACATT